CCCCAAAACCCCAAAACCCCAAAACCCCAAGGCATCTGGCTACTATTGAGAACCCACTATAATTATTTCTGGACTTGTTCCATTGAGGTTTGGTAGAGATCACCAAAAACTCCTGAATTCTTATCGGCCTTCTTCACAGCTGAGGAATCTGAACTATGACTTCTGTGGATGTTGAGTGGCATATTAGGCTGAGAAGGGAATTCTGAAGGAGGAACTAAAGCGTTACTGCTTTTGGAGATGTGTAATGGTCCTCCCATTGGGTGGGAAGGAAACCCTCCAGGTGAGAGGTGACCCCCAGAGGCGCCAGGAGCACCGAGGACAGAGAGATGATGATAATTTGGCTTTTGTTGGTAAGATAAATGAGGATTTTTCCTTTCTTCCCAGAAATCTGCACCTTGAAGTTTTACTTCAGGGGTAAATTCTTTCTTTGGTTGGAGAATTTCAGGCTGAAGGATATCATCTTGTTTGTTATTTTCTGGCAAGACACCATCTTTTTGATAAAGCTTCTTTAGATTTGAGATTAAGCCAGAATCTTGTTCAGCATCATTGTCACTATCATTTCCTTCTGGAAAATAATCTTCGAACTTAGGCTTATCTGGTTGAATTAAATCTGGTTGTTCAAATGCATCAAATGCATTATCGGTTGCTTCTGGTCGTGGTTTTGGATTATCATCAAATCCAAAGAAATCAGATGATGGCTTTGAGCTCTTTTTGGATGGCTGACCTCCAAAATCAAAATCAAATTCATCTTTCTTTTCTTGTTGAACAGGCTTCTTCTCCTTTTTATCAGATGATTTTACAGGTTTTGAACCACTGTTATCGAACCAGTCATCTTGTGGCTGTGTTCAATATTTGTTCTGACTAGTACCAAAGAAGTCCTCCTCTGCATCATCTGCTACTTTCGGCTCTTCATCTTTCTTTTGATCATGAGAATCGAAATCAAATTCAAATCCTGCGTCTGCTGCTTTAGAGGTTTTCTTAGGTTCTATATCTAATAAATATATCAGTTCTTACTAGAGTCGTCGAAGTCGTCCCAGGCAAAGTCATCTGCTTTTCCTTGAGTTTTGGAGGGCTGTTGCTTAGCCTTCTTTGAGTAAAGCTCTTCATGCATTTTCTTCTGATAATCACTATGCAGTGGAACAGCATGTTTCTTGCTTCCCTCCGCTTTTTCTTTCTGTAGCTTCTTTTGTAAATTCCTGATATCTTCAGGGGTGAGATCCTTGCTAGAAGACACTGGCGCATTTTTAGTAGCAGTTTTCGAAGTTTTTTGTTTCAGTTTTCTAAGCTCTTCTTGCTTCAGTTTTAGAGCATCTTTGTTAATATCAATGTGATCTTGGTCAACCCAGGTCTCCAGAATATCTTCAATTTCAAAGATATCCGGCCTATTTGCTGGGTTTGGAGTAAGCATATGTCTTATCAAGTCTCTTAATTTTTCTCCAATACGTCTTTTGGATTCGTTATCAGTGGGAAAGAAGTAATGTGCATTCAAAATGGCTAATTTCTGAGCATCTTGAAATGGATGTCTGAAGAATCAGAGAGCAAATAGGACTCATCCAAGCATCCAGATGTCTACCTTTGCTCCTACTTTCCATCCTCTGTACTTATCAATCATTTCTGGTGGCCTGTACATGAAAGTGGTATATTTTTCATAATTTTCCATCTCATCTTCAACTTCTCTATCGTTAGTATTTTTCGGATCTAATACATTGGAGGATGCAGATCCAAAATCTCAGAGTTTGAAGTTCTTATCTTGCAGAAGAATATTCTCTACTTTAATATCCCGATGTGCAACTGGTGGATCTTGCTGATGCATGTACTTGATACCTCTAACCACATGTTTCAGAGCAATCAAGATCTGGGTCTCCTTAAGTTTGCCCTTATATTTCTCCAAGAGATCTAACAAGTGTCCGCCTGATCAATATTCTGAAAGGATATACAAATATTTGCCTTTAGAGGTCTTATGCAGAGCTGCGTCGATAAATTTAACAATGTTGGGATGGTCACGAAGCTCTCTCCAGATCCTAACTTCCTTATTTCATTACCTCTTCGGTTTCTTTGTCCTTAAGGAATATTTTATTTCAATGCCATTGTCTTGCCAGACCTTGTATCTTTTGCCTTGTAGACTACGGCATAGCCACCCTCGCTGATCTTGCTACCGACTGTGACTTCATGCTTGTTCACAGTGAGAGAATCATGGTATCCTGATGTAAATATTTTTTGGTTCAGACCTTCCATTTTGGTCAAATAAATTATATAATTGTCTGGTGGCCTTCTGGGGTTTTGGGGTTTTGGGGTTTTGGGGG